TAAAATATTTTAAACTGGATGAACGAATTCTCAGGTGCAATGTAAATATTGAGTGATACACATTAATCTTTTGAAGTTTTAAATGAAGCGGTAATGCTGCCCTCAAATGATCAGTCTTGGACAGACGTGCAAATTTTTTTATTTTTTTCTTTACTACAAATCCGCCAGTTACGTCCAAATATCGCTTCGTAGTTCTGACATGTGCAGGACAGGTTTAACATATCAGGAAGAAACTCAAAATGAGACAGATGCGTGCCAGTTTTAGCATGAAGGACAACATGGCTTTTGAAGGCACAGTTAAAGTGTTGAATTGTTTCAAAGACAGTTAGATATTCCAAAATAACTCATTTCGTTCTTCAAACATCTACCAACATATTATATCTCCCAATAGTGTGAAATTAAATGAATGTATTGATTTGTAAATTGTACTTCTTGTAGTGTGGAGACACCATTACTAAATCCACGATGTGACGCTCGCATACAATATTAGGCGTATTTCTTGTTCATCATTTCTGTTACATTTGGATAATGTAAATATTAAAAAAAAATAGTCATCGAGTAGCCTGGCTAAATTTTTTTTAAACAAACCGGCTTTGCCGCCATAAAATGATTACCTGTATTCTAAAACCACATCCTTCTCTCCTTAGGGCGTACGCTACATGATGAACGCATTGCATGTTCTCATTCAATTAGTCGTTTGACGATGTTAATTACATCGTAATATTACTGGAAGCCGAGTGGAGAGCCTGGTTAGGCCAATTGGGAAATTCGATTGTGTTGTGATGCTTCTGATGGCGAAATTACCGTGGTTTTATGTTCCCTGGACGTGTTGGCCGAGTCCAGGAAGTGGTAAGACATGTTATTTTGTGCACGCAGTCTCTGACATTAACGGCCAAATGATCGAGCAAGTTATCTTCGTGGTAACGGAATTGACACATTTGGGAAGCACGCAGGTGTACTTGAGATTGGCTACCCCGACTTTGCGTGGTTTTCTTCAGTGCTAGGCGAACAGTGGAACAGTAACTTCGAAGATGCCAGTGAGCCCAGTCCTTTGCAGTACGTTATAACTCTTCGTCTCATCCGTTGATCTTTGAATGATGTAGGAGGGATTTTTCATAGGCTATTTTAATCCGGGCATTCGTCGAACGTTCAGAGGAAAACCACGATAACATCCTTGCCAGGCAATCTGGTGAATATATTAGGCGAGGAGGGACTGGTTTTCTTTTCTCTTTTATCTGATAGGACGCCTTTCCAGAAACAATCACTTTAATGGAAATTTAATATTGCCAAAAGCTTGAGTTTCTTGAGGACCCAGCACTGAAGACAATTAGTTTACTCAACCCAACAGACAAAATCCATTACGGCTACTAATGTACATCAGAGAAGAAAAGTACTTAAATCAGAATTAACAATATTACTGTGATGTCAGATATGTCTTGGTATTAAAGCTACTCGCAAGAACTTGGATTGAGAGTGTTGAGTAAATGTTAATATTAGCGTTAACTCTCGAGAGATGAGTGGGTGGGAACCCCGTTCCCTCCCACTTTGTAGGCCAGTATTGCTCCAAATATAGCATTTGGTAATGGTGTCATTAATCCATTCGTGCGCAACATTTTCCAGGGTGAAAATAACCTTAAAATGGAATTCAAATTACAAGGAAGTGTGAGTTTGCCATACATTAGCTTATGCACTCATTCGTGCACAGTGACGTGCTGACGCGTCATCGAATTCGGCCGTTTAGTGACTCATGCACACATCGCCGAACATCCATTTCATTTTCCTCAGCCCCGTGTGCGTCACAGGCCGATGGATTAAGCAGCCAGACTGCGTCTTCCTGTAATCACCGCCTCGTACTTCCATATCGGAGTAATTTGTAAAACTGATCCATGGATTTCTGTATTCTGGGTTGTTGCGATGATTCGCCCTGATGACGGAGGCAGTATGACCTCTGAAACGTTGGTAGACATCGACCAGACTACACAGCGCAACAACCCAGAAGACAGAAATGTTGATTCATGTCTCTTGATGTTCGGACCAGAAAAAGAGAGACACGGATTATGGAATGAATGCCGCTCAGAATCTGAAATAATTTCCCTTGGGATTGTAATATATTTGTCTGTGACTCCCGGCAACATCTTTTGAATGATTTGATTAAGCTACATGAATGTCGAAAAGAACGTCAATCCATTGACGGCCAAACAAATTGCTATCAAACATAGTTAACCTCACGTAACGACGTGTCGGAAGTCGTATTTTGAAACGGAATAGTTGTCTTATTTTTAAACATCCCGATTTTTATGAACCAAAAACAATTTCCCACGAAATTATCACTGCCATTTGACTGACCACTCTGCTTGTTTACTTATTTATTCGGCCGATTAATATGTTCGGGAAGTACTCGTTTCTTTGCTACGTGCCACTTTGGCCCGTTCGATTTCGAACTTCCAATCTGAAGACTGGTCTTGGTGGTTATTTGATTGCAACTTACAAAGCATATTTAACCACCCTCTTTTACATTTTCAGTTTTGTAGTCCAAGTTACGGACAGCGTATTTACATTGGCTGCAAATAATTAAATACATTTGTAATTATGTTTATGTTAACAGATTAATATAAAAACTACGTGTCAGTTGATAATAATAAATTTACAAAAACTATATTTTTGTACAGTATGTTTCTGGAAAATTCCACAGTGAGTAGCTTCAAAGAGTTTTTGCCGTCTGCAATAGAAATACCACCATTACCGGAAGCTAAAGCAAAATTTGAACTGCCTACAGTATGCATACCAGTGTCAGGTATAATTTCATGCGTAGGAGTTCACAACCACCCACAAATTAGTAGTGGCTCGCGTTTGGAGCATTATTTATAATTGTGGTTGAAGCGACCCACATCCACGAGGAAAGAGCTTGAAGTGTTGTCATCAAAACGAATACAGTGCTTAAGGTATAACATAGCTATGTTTGTATTGCTGAGTCCGTAATAATTTTTCATCACCCTTTGCTTATGTGAGGCCGAATTCAGGTTATGTTTCGTTGCTTTCACCTGCGTTGAATTTAATTGAACCAACCCTTTTAAATTACAGTATTGCGTGCCTGGTGTATTTTTTAAATGTAAATTTGCAACACATTGTAGTAATGATACAAAGACAAACTATTCCGTATTACTTCGCTGTTTAGTGCCATCATACCGAGACTCTGAATGTTAAAGGAAGTATTGAAGCTTTCGCGACGACCTGAGTCAATAAAATCCTCTCTAATCGTCAGCCACGTCAGGTAGTCGAAAGAAACAAACGTTTCGAGAACCATTCCGCCCACATCATCTGATTCCATATCCATGGTAATTGGGACGGCTGACAGCCCGAGAGGGTTTTATTAACTTGTAAGTGTCGTTTTGATTTGAACGTTCTTACCCATACCACCAAGACTAGTTGCAAGTAACAGTTCAAAATGGCGCCATGTCTGGTACGATGGATCGATATAATCGACGCTGGCACTTATGTACTTTTAGCTTCGATCTAATCAGTCGTGGCAAAAAGTATTTATAGCATTCCTTGAGGTAAGACCCCTTTACTTATCTCCGTATTTTATAGAAAAACCTGTAAATTGCTTGTCGAGTATGACGGGGGAAATCTGAATAAGTGAATACATACATACGAGGTGCGATCGGAAAGTTTCTAGACTGCGCCTATAAAAACCCGTACACTTATCTCAGGTATTAAATTCATCCATCACCCTCGAAGTAGTTCCCCTGGGAGTGAACACAACGATCCCAGCGCCGCTGCCAAGCCTGGAAGCATCCCTGGAAATCTTTCTTTGTCAGCCTGTCAAGCACCATCTGAGATTCTGCCTGAATCTCTTCTATCGTCTCAAATCTCCTTCCCTTTAGCTGAATTTTCATCTTTGGGAAGAGGAAGAAGTCACACGGCGAATAAGGAGGGTGCGGGATGACGGCCATGGTGTTTGAGGCCAAAAACTGCCGAACTTTGAGGGCGGTGTGCGCTGGCGCGTTGTCATGATGCGTCGCATGTGGAGTTCTTCCTTTAGAATCAGCTGACAGGTCCCATAGCCTATCCCACCAATGTCGCACAAGTCGTTGATGGTACGACGTCGATCTTCGGGAATGGCCTGCCGAATCTTCGTAACATTTTCGGGCGTTGTGCGCGAAGATGGTCGTCCAGAACGCTCGTCATCATCGACAGAGGTTCGGCCATTTTTAAAACGTGAATGCCTCACAAAAGTTTGTGCACGACCCATTGCGGACTCCCCAAATGCTTGCTTTAGCATTTAATAGGTTTCCGTAGCCGTTTTGGCGAGTCTTTGGCAAAATTTGATTTGTTCATGAAAATCCGCCATTCCGAAATCGCAGGAGGGTCGGTGTAATGCACTACCAAAACGCCCGTAACTAAGAAACAAATGCTAATTCGATGATGCCGGCTGGCACACTGATTCACTATGAATGTAGGCCGCACCCCATAGCGGCAGAAGCTCGTACTACATCCGGTTCGCCCTCTATTGACACAGTCTGGAAACTTTCCGATCGCACCTCGTGGACACAAGGAACAAACGTCCCTTAACAGGAAATGATCACCAACAGACACTTATTATATATAGACAGATGAGTCTTGAAGTATGGACCGCAGCAATTTCTGTATCTGTCACATCTCCCCAATTTTAAGTTTTTAACCTAACTTAACATTACGAAATTTGTCATCCTCTTACAAGGTACTAAAGCCGGATGGCTGTTGCCAAATTCTGTATTTTAACAGAGCTTTACAAACATAAATCGTTGTTCTTCTGTAATTATTAATTTCTAGTCACTCTGGCCCGTCATTTGATGTGGCCTGTAGGCTAATTATCAGTTTATACAGTGTCATAGAATAGTATAATTACAAGTTTATTTAGGCTGCACAATTTGACGCTCTTGTTTCGCCCGTATAGGCCTACTTGTGCCTTAAGCCACACGATGGCACCACACTCACTCCGAGTTTGTTTTATGTTGCAGAACAACCGCGCTACGATACAGTGTATGCCTGCGAGGGCAAGACTTTGAAGATCGAGTGCAATGATGGCGAGCTGATCCACCTGATACGTGCCAACTACGGACGCTTTTCGATCACGATCTGCAACGATCACGGCAACACGGACTGGAGTGTCAACTGCATGTCTCCAAAATCACTGCGGGTTCTTCACAGCAGGTACCGTCTGTTGGCCCCCGAAGTGTTCACTAGGAGCAAATTTTGCCCTCATTCCTTTTAGGTTTACTAGTGGTGTTCAAAGTACGGGCGTTTTCGGTTTACGTCGGTACGACTTTGACTACACGCGTTTACGAGGATCTTTTTTTAAGACTTCTTTTTCGGTGTGGCGGATGCTGTACCAAATACTGGAGGCAGACGTTTTGTACCCTGTACTATTCTGGATTTTTGCACTTTCTTATTACAATTAGGAAGGTCAGTCCTTTCTGTTTACTTGATTCTCAAAATTTAAACTATTATACATTCGTTACGAAAGCCACTTCCGAGCTTTAACGCGAAGCAGCAAGTTTCGATGCCTCGTAATTCTGTAAATTTAAAAATTTAGTAGGTCATGAGACCACGTTCATATTTACAATTTCCTGTTGATTTAAGCTGTCGTTATTTTTAGTTTATAAATATTTTATATATTTAATTAATCATGTCAATTAAATATAAAAGTCATTAGCTTTTCATAATTCTAGCGATATTTTTATGAACGTATACCCTTTTACGGATTAGAATTAAAATTAAGCATGCAATGTGCAGATTAAATGCAATATCTGTATTGTAGTGTACTATTTTATATAATTTCCCTTTCTGATATTTTATATGTTACTTTCATGCCCTTTGTGTTCTGTTTAATACGATATTGGCTTATAGGATTGGTTGATTTATTGTAAATGTCCTATTTATGTTGTTATGGTGTACGAGTTGTGGATTTTGTTCCTGCATTTGTTAGGGCTTGCTGGTATCCATTTTGTATATACTAAATACATCATGTGATGACGAAAATGGCGGCACGTTGTAATTTATTTTTATTTTCTAAAGTTAGTCAGCTGTTTTGTAACTGTCAGTTTACTAAGGAGTTTTACCCCTTTGTTTGTAAACAAACACTTCTCCAGGCTTTTCGGCCGTTTACGAACTACTGAAGTCTTGATAATGATGGCAATAAGTATATATTTAGAAAAAAAAACGTTTAAAGTAATAATAAAATTTATCGTCCCCAGCAATCAGTCGTAGGATGCGTTAAGTTTGATTCTAACGCAGAATTTAAACACCGAGTAAAATGACATGATATTTGGATAATAATTATACGATATTATATAAGTCAAGTGTAAACGTGCTCATTTACCATAATTCATCACTGTTGTCGGTGCTTATCTTTATAATTTTCACATTGTACGTAAAATATGTGCAGAACTTGAAATGTTTATTTCTAAATCTGTAACTGTAACTGAAATATGTTTGAACAGACGACGTAGATAAAAATATTTACTCAAGCCTCAAAGTCTTGAGTTCCAGCGGGCACATAGGATCCCAGTTTTTATGTCTGTAATTTTCAGTAAGGCTGTTGTACAAAATTTAATAAAAACCGGACCAGAGATGAATTGAGAGTTGGAACTTACTGACATGGTGTGTCTGTAATGTTGGCTTCGCCTGTAACTCGGTTCAGGTATGGTACACGACCTTATAAGCAACAGATGCCTCAAGAGAAAATAGAAATCATGGAAAAAAGCATTCCTCATTAGTAAGCATGAAAAATATTTTCTTAGCAGGGGCTGCTTTGCTGTTTTTAAGGATAACATTTCGTTATTGTCCGGTGGTCGAGTTGTCATAATTTAGACTCTGGTGATACATCTGTACTTGTAATTTCCATAAGCAACGTGCTTAAAACACTGACATGGAAACTACGTCTGTAGTCGTTGAATGGTGTTGCAAGAGGCATCTGTTGTTAAATTATCGTAGCCTGCGTGGTCTCTGTAAAGGGCTTCGTATTGGGTTCAAAGCTTCTTGTTCACCGCAGTTAGCCAGGAGGAATCCTCTTGATCTGCTGGCACCACCAGTGAGCGAGGTGTAGTTTCGTGACGCGGAAGTAGTGACTTTGAACCGAATTCGTGCATTGTCTTATGCGGCACACGGTCCAGGTCACGTGACACATCTCAATGTACTGTTACTTTGAAAGCAGATGATTAACGTTATTATACGATTTGAACTACAGTAAACCTTACTCCGACGCAGGTTTTTTTTCCCCAACGCGGATTCGATTATACGCGTCGAAATAAATGTGATCAATTTTGCTGAACGTGAAAATTCTATTATACGCCGTCTGCCAAACACGCTGTTTAAAAAGATACAGACGCATTGTGGGTAATGGATACTTTGAGCGGTGTGACAGTTGCTGAAAAGGACAGAAAATAACGATATGCTGGCGTTTGCGAAATACGAACTGTAATGTTCAAATACATTTATTATTCCATTTTCTTCAGATCCGTATATACGTACTGAAAAAAAATGGTATGTTAAACGGAGTGATCATAATAGTTAACTTGACCGATGCCCGGTGTAACTCTGTAGGCATTTCATAGGCACAGCTTACGAGTGAATTTACTAATAAGGCATTGAAAATGTGTCCCGCTCTCTGCCTTTGAAGAGGTAATAAGGCTTTTAGTAAAAGAGCAAAACTATATCAGTTTAGCAAGTCCCAGAATTCGGTATCAGGGTGTTCCAAATAAAAATCAGGCATCTTACAGCTTGATCATTTCACCGTATGATAACTTCGTCCCCCTAACTTATAAGCAAGTTTCAGAAGGAACGGTGTGTGATTAAATACTGTGATATTCTTGGATGCAGTTGAAAATTTCGTATGATTATTATGTGTCTTCCCGTCCTTTTCTGTATTTTTTTTCTGTGACATTCGAATCAGCAGAAATCAGCTGAAAACTTTTATTTCTATCCACAGAGCAGTGAAGAGACGTGAGTTATTTTGCATGCAGTTGGAGTTTTCGTTATGGAGGAAAAGTGGTTCAGCCCTTCCATCCTCGGTGATGAGATTAATTTCACATGCGTCCCTAAGGGCGCAACTAGGGCCCGAGCCTTTTGTTATTACAGACATTCCGCCTCGCTGTGGTTTTCTCATAGGATAATATTTAGATTGCAGCAAATGATAATCCTAAGCGTGATGTGGCGCCATTTTGCGATGAATACCAAGAAAAAAATGTTCATTATTTTTAAGAATTCGTTAATAATAGATGAGATAATTTTTATGTTAAAATGAGGCTAATGAACTTTGTGGATTATGCGAAACAGAGGAGGAATAAGAACCACCCCCATCGTGCCGTATCAACAGTTTTTGTTGTTTCCATTCCAAATTCTGCATTGGTTTTTGAGCCCCCTAGTGCCTGTCACCCGTTTCAGCCAATGCAACGCCTTCTAAGGCCCTGTAGGGTCTCAACATTAATGTACTGTGTGTGGACTACATGAATTTATGCAGGGTGCACTCACTCCCTGAAAACCGAACGTCTTGGTCACGTGGTTAACAGTACTACACCGTATTCGGGAAGTCCCGGGTTCAAATTTCGGCCTGGATATCCGGACTCGTGTTGTTTTGGTTTTTTTCTCAGTCCCTCTAGGCAAATACTGCGATAGTACCTTAAATTAGACTACAGCCGCTTCCTTCCTTATCCTTTACAGTTCATTATTCACTATCGCGACGCTGTATAGTCCGAGTTACTGAAAAATCGTCGTTATATAAATTATAAATAAATAACACTTAGTATCTGACAGAGCGTTGTTAACTTGCCTGATAATCAGGTTGTATGAGTACACATGTAGGTCTTTAAATCAGAGATTTTCAACCCAAGAACCACGTGCGGTCCGCTTAAATTTTTGTAATGTGTTGCTGTGTGATGAAAAATAGTTACCTGATGACCTGCGAGGAAAGACGTCTTGTCAGTGTCGTCAGTATTTGGCAGAAACCATGTAGCATTTAGCAATATCCATCCCAGTGGGCATCTGTCCAGCGCTTATTACGTGTTTCATTGATGGACACTTGGAATGGACTGCATGCGAATCCTTGGAGGATTGCTAAAGAAAAGCAGTATTAAATATGTAACTAATGACTGAATATTTTTTAAAATATCTGAGTAATATGGGCACCTGTTCGCAGTAGTGGGTCTGTTTAGTATCACGTGTAAAAATTGCTATGGTGTTTCAATAAATTGCCCTCATTCATAACATTGCAACCCGGCATTCTGTAAGTAATAGTGAGTCTGGAGAAAGGTCACAACCCCTATTTTAAATTATAAAAAAAGGGACATGTGATTTAAAAGAGTGTTCTTGCAGCTTCCTTTGAAACCGAAGCTCGTGTAAATATTTAGGAGCTAAGTCATACCGCAAAGACAACACTTCACCATTGCAAGATAAACTGATTAATGCTGTTTGAGGAAATAATCTCTGTTTACGCTGAGAATCATACGAAACCTGTAAATACAAAATGAAGATTTAGTGATTGTTCACTGGTACAAGTAATTACCACTAGGCTTTAAAGGGTTAATTGTGTCAGTGAAGGGAAGCCTCTCACGCGCCTTTGTAGGAAATTCTCTCGCTGTATCAGATGTGTTCATCCTGAGTTAACACACTCATATAAGGGTTATATTTAAAATTAATTTGTATTTTAAAAACTCCAGTCGCATCGTATATAATCAAAACTGCAAAGGCTGTAGTATCTCGCATTTAACTTGTAGTGTTTGTTATGTTCTAGGTGTAGAACTGGTACAATTCAGTAAAAACTGAATGTATTCAAATTCGTATTTATTACAACTTTTGTGACAGCAGAAGAATGAGATATGAAACGTCCCGAAGATGCAGTTAAACGT